GTATTAAGACTTTATTAGCAAAGAAGTATAAAAACTTCTTGCAAACATCTTTTTTGTGTGTGGTCAGAGGATCAGCGATATATATTGTTTTATTGCTTGCTATTAATTAATATATATTTTTTTATATAATTTGTTTTATTATTCAAATTAGAATTAAGATACTATATTATTTAATTCTTAAAAATTTTTAATGTTCTTTTGAGCTTTGTAGACTTTAAGTTTTTTTTAATTTATTGATAAAAACTATTGATTATAAAAAATTTTTTAATGTTTAAAAATATATAAACTAATACTAATTTAACTAGAAGCTTGAAAAGTCAATATTGAGATTTCTAAGCTTACTATAAATTAGTTTATTGATATATTTCTTTTTATTATATAAAATAAGATTGAAATAATAAAATATTATACAGACTCTTTTAATTAATAAAGAAGTCTTTAAAAGATAGTTAAATATTGTAACTTGTTATTTTGTTAAATATTATAACTTATTATTTTATTATTGATTTTTTGATCAGTGTATGTTTTTTGAGCTGGTTTATCTTTTTCAAAGAAATTATTAAAAAAGTAAATTTTTTTTTAAAAAAGATCAGTGAAAAGAATTTTTTTATCTATATACAATATATACTTCAAATTTGTATAAATTCTAAGATTATATTATATATTTTTTTAACTATTACTAATATAATGTATAGTTATTACTAAAAATATTTTATTAAAGTTTATATTTGTCCCTAAAAATTACATTCTTGTAAATGCATTACTTCGGCATATAATCATCTAAAATTCAATAAAAGTCAAGCTTGGCTAAACCAAACATTAAAAAAAAACAATTGCAAGTTAAAAAATAAAAAAGAAAATAAAAAAACTATTAATACTGTATATAAGATAAAACCTATAAATCATATTATTAATTGGCAAACGAAATATTTAAACTTTATTTTAATAATCATAGCATATAACTTCAATTACCATCTTTTACATATTCTCGTGTGAATTAAAATATCAAGCACCGAATCATAATAAAAGCAAATTACATATTAAATAAACATTGAGTGAAATGATTCTCGATAAATTCGCGCAAATCCTTTGAAAAAATTGTCATTCACAAATTAGAATATGGTCAATAATGAATTTTAATCTTTTACATAATCTCTTCATTGACGGGCCTTCCTCTTATCAAGAATAGATGTTCGAGTAGACATATCTTCAAAGAAATCATCCTATAATGTTCATTAAATATATTAAAAAGTGTTTTAAGTTATGGCACTAAAAAATAATAGAACCGTACATCATCGTCATCCTAAATGAGGTTAAAGTCATTATTATACGTTAATATTAGTATCCTTGCGAAAGACCATTAGAAACAACATCTAAAATTACCAAAATAATCTGACTGTGTGATTCTGATCTCGCAGGATGCGATGAGACATTTGAGGCGTTTGCATTGGTTTGTGAGGGTATTTTGCCCGAACGACTTGTCTTCTTTGATGGAGGTTCTTCAAGTCTGACACTAGATAATTCAATGCAGCGAATTAGTTATTTCTGATCAAATTTATTTAAATTAAGAAATATTAATTACCTTGAGACCTTTCTTTTTCTCTCGCTTTGAGAATTACCGGTAATCTCCATCCGCTCCATATCCTCAGAAATAGTTTCTTCTTCAACATATTCATCTATAACCTAGGACAGACCAAATTTTACGATCTTAACATAAGAAAGAAACAATTCATTATACAACAATTTGCACTGTCCTGCTAACTTTTTTATTACGAGTCGCGCCCCTTTGTGCTTTAACTTGTCTGAAGTCATCATCAGAATCCTCAGAATCTTTATATTTGTTGCGTTCGTTCTAATAAATTACACAAACAATGCCGTTAATTTTTATAACAGAAAGTAAATTACAACAATATATTTAACCTGTCTCGGTCGCAAACTCGCAATTCTGGTCGAAGACCTAGTAGCTGTCACTTCCTGTTCATTATTTGTTGCATTTGTTGAAATTGTATCGGAGTCGTCGAAGCCATCATCATCCATAATACGCTTAATTGAGATTAGATATGTTATATAATGCTCATATAAAATTATTTTAAAGAAAGGGTGTTTCAGTTACTCTGGTTTGACGTGAAGTCGATGATTTCCCTCTCCCTCTTGTTCGAGCTCGTCCCCGTCCTCGGGTATTTGTTCCTCTTGTGGTTCTGGTATTTCGTGATTTTGATGAACTGCTTACACCAATCCTATCATTATCTGAAGCGAAATCCTCATCATAATCAGGTGCTTGACGATCGCCTGATGTTTTACCCTTTATAATAGAAATTATAAAGCTAATTATACAATGCATGATGAAAAATAACGAGAAAAACAATCACATACTCTTTCCGCAAATCTTTGTTCTGGATTCTTTTGTGCATATTGCTGGGCAAGTAAAACCTTTTGTTTATGTGTCTAAACAAGAAAAACGGACAAAATAGTTTACAATGCCGTTAATATGTTATTAACAATACAAAATTTGAAACTTACTTGTTCCGCAATAATCTTTTCATCTTCAATTATAAGCTCTCTTTTAAGTTGCGACCTTACATTTTTTATTGTACTCTTATAAAAACTAAAATAAATATATATTAATAAAGCAAGATCTTTCACATAAGGAAATAATGTCTGGGGTATTAGTACTCTGCAATTGCGTCCTGATCCTCTTTATCCACATAAAGTGTGACTGAATCACTGAGAGCAAGTTCTGGTAATATATCAAGAGTTTCCAAACACTCGGATATGAGTTCGTTAACAACACTTTTTGAAAGGTTTTCGGGCATATCCATTTCTGTGGTGTTCTCTTTTTTCGTCCCTATGTTAAAAATTATGTAAATTATTATTTACTTTATTAAAATTACTTATAGATAGTAATAACGAACTTGATTTCACGGGATTCTTCTTGTAAAAGAATAATATTTCTTGATTATTAGCAACCTGGTTCACAAAGTTTTGCCCAAACTGGCGGTTGTTAAAGATTTTAAATTCTCCTGTATAATCAACCTAACCATTATGATATTGAATTAAGATTCTAGGTTTTTATACGATTTCGCTGTTTCAATTCCAAAGAAGTGCATAAATAAAAACTTGCCCTAAGCTTAACTAGGGGTAAAGGAAATTTTGAATCATCAGTTTCTTCGTTGGTCTCGAGCCAATTTTCTTTAGCTTCTTCTATAAGCTCCTCAACCTGAATAAAATTTATCAATAATGTAATTTTTTATCTAACCGTTGGAAATAAGTCAAAAGTCACCTTCGAAACTAAGAGAGACGACATATGAGTCGAATCATCAGGCATGAGATCTGGGAAATCTTGTAACACAACCTCTCCGATTACAAATGGCCTAACCGTTCTTAATCTAATTTTTTCCATATGAAAATCACCAGGACCACGTATCTCTAACTTCGCAACATGCCTATATTAGGATAATAGCGATATAAATTATATTTAATCGTCGAAAGTTTTTTTATTTTGTTAAGAAACATACTTTGATGCAATTTCTCCTTCGATTAAGCTGGTAATAATAGACGAACCAGGTTGGGAAATATAAAAAGTTTGTTGCGAATTATATTCGGGGTCAATTTTACAATCATGCTCGTGTCCCCAAATTACTAGATCTAAAAAACTTGGCAAGAAGCTTTCAGGTATATAGTTCTTCGGTCCATGAGGAACTCTGCACATAAAATATGTTTAGTTTTAATTTTCCATTTTTTAAATTAGCAATAATAACCAAAATCCTTTACCTATTTTGATGCAGCACCATTAAGTTGAACCAATCATCTGTGGATGAATCAACATGATTCACTTTGACATTATTATCAATGAACATCCGATGTAATCTCTCATCTCTAATGTTTCCAAATCCATATAAAGCCAATTTGATTCCACCTTTCTTTATAAGGATCGGGTCAATTATTACATTATCTACTTCTTTCACTTTTCCAAAGTAATTAATGAGTCCAGACACTGAAAGTAAATCTAGTGCGCAAAGGTTTCCGTCCTAGTTGATTCAGAGGAATTTGTGGTTAGTAATATACCAAATTGTGAATCGAATATATCATAAAGAAATAGGCTTACACCCGACGGATCATCATGATTACCATGAATAGAAAAGACAGGCATGGAGATATTGCAAACGGGATTTTGAAAGTTATTGAGACTGCAAATGTACTTAATTTAAAATCTTGATCTTTTCAATCACTATGTACTTAGAAAGAAAATCATCCAACCTGTCAGAACCATTGCCCAATAGATCATTCCCGAGCTCTATAGTGGGTCTACTATTTCCAATGCAATATGATCGAAGTAATTTCATAGTTTCATATAGTGTCTTGCGTGACGGCCTGTTATCGTGGAAAAGATCGCCGCCCAGTAAAATCAAGTCCACCTTGGAATAAGAAAATTAATATAAAAACTTATTCTTATGTTAATCGCAAGAGGCATTCAACCCACCTTATGTTCCTTCGCTAGGCTAAGGATTTCTTTAAAAGTATTCAGGGAGTCGTCTCCACGTATCGGGTCTTTCTCTAGAAAGCCTAAATGATTGTCTGTTGCGACCAGAATGGAGAGACTGTCGTCGAGGGCATCCTGTATTCTTATTATTGGTTTGTATGATGGTTACATATGAATTACAAAAGACGCGTTCAAAAAAAGATCATGCAACCTTAGCTTACATTGAAGTTTCCATATTTTGAAAGACGCGCGTCTAAGATTCGTGCACAAAATACGTAATATACTCAACAGTTCGTTGTGGCTGGTGCATCACATGACTCCATATGTATGATATATTAGAATTGTTTAAATAAATATAAAAGTTATATAGTTTATAATAAATATTTATCTATTGTTACTTCAATATAATCAATAAAGTATGACTTGTTGGTATTTTTTATAGTTCCATTATATAAAACTTAAATCTATAGTCCTACTTTTCTCAATATCTATTTTAATGTCAAAATATAGAAAATAACATAAGAAATAATCCTGTCCATTACCAAAATTTCATATACCCAAATACGCAATATATATTTTATTGTACAGATTTCTTTTACTTATATCCACACATATGGTAAAAAAAGATCAATAGTATACATTACTATCATCAAAATATCAGCCTACTATTAATGACTATGCTACTCCCAATTTCTTTTCTAACTTATCAAATTCGAGCTGTGAAATAGCTTCTTCATCATCCAAAACTTGTTCCACATTGGTTACTTCGGGAATATAATGCATTAGCATATTTTTAATCCCATTCTTAAGTGTCACCACAGAAGAATCGCATGATCTACAAGCGCCTTTCAGTTTTAGTTTTACAGTTCCATTCTCAAACCCACGGTATTCGACATCACCACCATCATCCTGTATGGCGGGTCTAATTCTAGTATCTAAAAGCTCTTTAATCATTTGTACCACTTCAGGATCGTCATCTTTGATTTCTGTATCTGAAGGTGGTTGAGATTCAGTTAGAATAGGCTGACCAGAAGCGAAGAAATCCATAATATTAGCATATATATCTGGTTTCATCAATTGCCATGGTGTATCCTGATCTTTACTAATTGTAATAAAATCTGGTCCAAAAAATACCCCACGAACTCCTTCAATTTGAAAGAGTTTTTTCGCAAGAGGTGATATTGATGCAGCATTTCCTGATAAAAACTCTGCTGTGCTGTTGTCTGGCATCACTGGAATTCCGGGAATAAATTTTAAAGAATCCTGGTTAGGAGTAACCTCCGTTTGAATGAACATTGTACGAACTAAATTTAATAACGAGAATAATTAATACTTGCCATTAACAAAATAAAGTTCGGTCAAAGAACTTTAAGTTTTTACTACCTTGTTGGGAAGGTAAATTTTGACTCACGCATAATTCATTTTTGTTGAAGCTTTGGTTCAGTCCTCTTAATGTGGGTGTCAAATCTTTTGTGGTAAATATTTTGCGACTGCTTGACGATGCTAAATGTCGTATAGACACAGCGTGGCCTTGAATAGGCGATATACATCTATAAAACACTCTTATCGTAGGAAACAATCTTCGCGATTGCATTTTATAAAGCAAATATTTGAACGATTCGATTGATAATTTATATTGCAAAGTCAACCAATCAGGATTACAAATTAAATTGTACTCTTTTTTTTTTTTTTTGGCAAAGTTTCACGTGACGACAAATTGAATTTGCAAAAAAAGATGTAATTATAAGAATCAGTTATTTATCTGCTAATCATTGAATTATAAGATTAAATTATATAAAGAGTATAAAGAGTAAGAAAAAAATTTTTTAAAAATATGATAAGAAAGAAAAAAATTTTTTTAAAAAAAAAGATTATTATTATACTATTAAATTTTTCTCTTGAAAATAAAAGTTTTTATTTATATCTTTATAATTAAGATTAGAACTTATTTGTTTATTTTATTTTATTTTTTTAATTTTTTATAAGCTGATTATTAAATGTTTATATTATATTATATTTTTATTTTTTTTATTTTTTTTATTTTTTTTATTTTTTAATTTGCAGTCAGGTCAGCATGACGTATCTTTATTGTATATATACTAGGTATTTACAAATTTTGTGACTTTTATATACTGACTCACTCGTAGTCAAAAAATTATTTCTCTAAATATAACCTAGGGAATGATATTTTGCTCCTTTACTAATTTGGAATATTTCCTCTAATTAATAAATTCATTGCCTACAGATTATTACTGTAGATCATTCAAAGTTCTGTCTACAGTTAAAAATCAAACCACTTTATTCCGTGATAGATTCAATCCTTGATAATCGCCATATACTTTTTTCCTTCTATTTCTTTGATACCTTCTAGGCTTAAATCCTTTGGAGATAGCACTTCTTTTTGTTCCTGTTCAGTCTGTTTATCATGTCTAGACTTGAGCCTCTTGTTTGTCTGTGGTTATATAGGCTTGATTGCCCTTCGTGACCTTTACCCTGTCTAGTGTGATTTTTGTTCTGA